ATTCTCTGATTTCAGCTTCTCAAATGTGAATATTTTCTTTAGTCCTCTGTGACAGTAAAAGAATATCAATCAATCAATCAATCTGAGGAAACAGCGATCACCATTTTTCACCAAACAACTAATTGATTAATGGAGAAAATGATCGAACAGATTATACGATGATGAAAAGCAGCAGCTGAAGGAAACACTGGTTCTGCTTTACAGAATCACTGACGTTAATGAAAGTGTAACTCTAATCAGGTCAGCTGGTGTTTAAGAGGCCGAGGGCCCAAAGCCTCCTGGGAAATGTGACAGGAACTAAAACTTGTGACTGACTAACACATCTGATCCGTCTTAACGACACCCCCAGACCTGCGGTGGGCCGCGCGACTCAGCGGCGTGGGAACATACGACATGTGACCGAGGAGGTGAAGGTGGAGGTCACAAAGCTGTCCATCAAACACTTCACTTCCTAAAGTTCAGTGAAACAATGACGATGACCATCAGTGTGCTGTTACCGGGCTGTTACCCTGCTGTTACCGGCTGTTACCAATGTTACCAGGGCTGTTACGGCTGTTACCCTGCTGTTCCGGCTGTTACCGGGCTGTTCCAGGCTGTTACCGGCTGTTACCCTGCTGTTACCGGGCTGTTACACGACTGTTACCGGGCTGTTTACCGGGCTGTTACTGCTGTTTACGGGGCTGTTACCGGGCTGTTAGGGCTGTTAACCGGGTGTTCCAGGCTGTTTCCCCTGCTGTTACGGTGGCTGGTTATCCGATCTGTTACCGGCTGTTTACCGGGGTTACCCTGCTGTTACCCTGCTGTTACCGGGCGTTCCGGGCTGTTACCGGCTGTTCCGGCTGTTACCGGGCTGTTACCTGCTGGTTACCCGGCTGTTAACGGGTGGTTTAACGGGCGTTACCCTGCTGTTACCGGCTGTTACCCGGCTGTCTCCCTGCTGTTACCGGGCTGTTACCCGGTGTTACGGGCTGTTACACCGGCTGTTACCCTGCTGTTACCCGGCTTTGTTCCCTGGCTGTTACCCTGCTGTTACGGGCTGTTACGGCTGTTACCGGCGTTACCGACTTTTACCCTGAATGTTACCCGGCTGTACGTGATATTACCTTGCTGTTACCGGCTGTTACCTTGTGTTACCTGCTGTTACGGGGCTGTTTACCGGGCTGTTACCGGGCTGTTACCCGCTGTTCCCAGGCTGTTTACCGGGCTGTATCCTGCTTGCATATTTAAAGTCAAACTTGTTTCTATGAGCTTACAGAAACCCTGATGCTGATCTGGGAAAGGAACAAAATCATATTTTATTATTCTTTACACCATACAATATACCAGGAAGGATTTTAAAATACAACAAAACTTGACCCAAAAATTAAACTATAATGATTATCAGAGGTGGCTGTTGGGACTGACTGATTTTTACTTTTAGATTCTCGTCAGACCTGAAGGTTTCATTGTGATTCTCGGTTTGATTCGACGACGGGACGCCGTCACAGGCCGGCGCGCGCTTTATGACCGTACGACTTTCAGGCCCATTATACACACAACTGACAATGATGTTTACACACCAACACACACACACACCACACCACAACACACAACAAAGGGAAACAGTAGACACTCAGCTTCATTCATGTCCAATACGCTTTATAAGTGGGTCGCTCCTCACTCGAGGCGACTGAATCTGCATTTCACTCGAGACTCTGTTGCAACAGTTCCATGTCCATTGAAGCATCACGGGAGCCTCCTTGGTGATCCTGAAGCTGCAGTCGGTAATTTTAGAAATTAACTCTTGCCTGTAAAATTTATTCTTAGATTTTGTTATACACATCAGAGCGAGAATGTATTGTGGGTCTATGATTATTCTTTCACACTATGTTTTTTTTGTTCATTATTAACAATGCAGCTAATTTGTTACATTGAACCAGTTCATGTTCACTGAGTTCATCACTTCCTGTTGCAGAGGCAGATCTATAAACATGTTCCAGATGTTATAGGCTCACGATTACTCGTCTGCGTTCCTCGTGATGCCCTTCGTCTGTTGCTCATTTGTCTGAGGATGCGGTTTGAACTTGTGTATATTGGCGTGTGTGTAGGAGGGCATCTGCAGCAGTCGGGGGCGTTCTTACTCATAATTACAGATTTTTACTACATGGTCTGTAATGTCATGGTTTAG